CATTGCCATTTAGTTTCTGCCCCGAATCGCCATGCGATGCTGTGACCAAACCTTTTGAAATTGTTTCACTATTGTGCTCTTTAACTCCAACATGATCAACTATATCACCAATAGCCACACCTTGTTGATTATTGCAGCCACCTGATACATCCATTTGGTGTTGTACCATCTCTCTATTGGAACAAGAATTTGATTCTCTATTGTCGCTACAACATAGACATTTAGTTCCGAAGCTCTAAGTTCAGAAATAACCAAAGAAATATGTTTGTTTGAATTAATTTCTCGGCTAATTGTTGCCAAATATTTTGATCATCTACAGGTTTTTCAATATCTTTTTGCCCAACTCTCTTATCATTCAAAAAAACACGTTCATCTCCATTTAATTGTTCTGTATTGTTAGCCTCGGAATCAAGTTGCATAAGTGCAAAATCTTGCCCAACTTCATCACCTCAAGACATTGATTCCCTTATCAACAAGCGACATATATTTTCTTCATGTGCTTGATGTTTAAAATGAGTGCAATACGGTGATTATGATAGACAATTTTCTAATAATGTTCAATAATTTTACCTGATTCTTTCTCCAAAAACTGTAGTCTTAGACGATTTGGATGCTTATTCAGTAAGTCTAGGATTATCTTAACCCTAGAAGTACTTGGCGTTGTTCGATCTTGTGTTGTTTTATCCATCGCAATAGGCTTTCCTGCCGCTGTCGCAATCGATAGTAATGACCTCGTCGCAATGAAATCTGTAGGTAACTCTGGCAATGATATTCATACCTAGGCTTTAGGTTTTTCCTCTTTAGGGTTGATATTTGGGGGGGGGGGTGTTATAAGTCTTGCTTTAATTTGACTAGTGCGTGCTTTGATTTTATTTTTGGGGTGGCGGGGTTGAATTATAGAAGTTGGATTGAAAGTATGCACGTTAAGCGAGCTGGGTCGAGCTCGTTGAATCACTCAGCGATTCACCAAAGATCCCCATCTTGCATTTAATTTCATGCTTTATCTGATGTTGGGTTCTATAACTTTTTTTAAGAAGATTGAGGTCGACGAAGGAACTCGGCGACTTGCCAAAAATCTTCTTAATCGCCCTTTGTCTACATCTCTGCTCCCTTTTTGCAGTGTAACTTTCGGTGGGCTAGCCTTTTCTTGACGAAAGGCCTTCCCATCGCCGACTTGCCAAATATTTCTATGATTTTTGAGTCAATCCATTCGGCGAGCCCGATCTAGCTCACCAAAGAGATTTGGCGACTCGCCAACCGGTTTGTCAAGTCAATCTGCAACTATTTTTTTGTGCTTTTGTCTGAAGGTTTTCTAACTTATTCCTGATATTTTGTAGATATGGGAAAGACCAATAATGACATGATACCCAGGAAAAGAGTACGGGGTATCACTATAAATGAAGGGGGATGAAGACCTCTAAATAAGAGCAGGCAAGAGCCTCCTCCAGGTGGGAAAGGCAAGGGCAAGAGGCCCATTTCTGAAAGAGATACTACTCCCTGAGGCCCCAATATTCCTTCATGGCCTGGGAGATTCTTTGCATTTGTGCAAACATTTTTGGCGGATAGACTTTTGGAAGCTCCTAATGGGTCTGGTACTGTTTTTTCTTCTGAGGAAACTCCGAGCACTGATGCCCAAGTCCAGGCAGATGCATCGGACGTTGATCTCCAGACTGATGGAGTGATTGTCTAGACATAATCCTCTCTTTATCTTTTTCTCTGTCTTACTTTATTTTTAACTTCTGGATATTTTTTTTTTGCATTTGAGGACAAATGACTTTATTGTGGTGGGGTGAGGCCCACCATTGGTGTGACTCCCTGTTTTAGTTTATATATTTGAGTTTTAAGCTTTAAGTTTTGCGTTAGACTACATTTTGTGGATGTTTGATCTTGTGGCTCCGTATTTTTAAATGAAAACAATTTTTGATCCCCTTTCGGAAAAAAAAATTCACCTCCTAATTGTGTTTAAATGTGGTTGTTCTTTTGAAAATTTGACTATCGGTTTTGATTAATATGATGACTTGAATAGTTCTAATAATTGAACAAAAATAAATGTGTGGGTACGATTAGACCAAATGAAGTTGCATAGGCAATATGTTAACTCTTTGAATCTCGGTGTGACTAGCCAAGTATCAAATTAAGTCTCTTTTGATGAACATTGCACACTAGCAAAAAGGTGGAGTCTTTTTTATCATTGATATGAATGTCTTGTGTAATGAGCTTACTGGGAACCATGCATGATGATACCTATAATTTTTCCAGTTGGTGTAACATCCTAGAAAATTTTTGAACTAAGACTTGAACAAACCTTCGTTGTGAATAGAATTTTAACAAGTAATTTAAAATTTCTTAAGTATTAAGGTCAGATCACTAGATGTTGTACCTTGAGTTCAAAAAGAACTAAATTGGAAATAGCAATATCTAAAATCTTGTAAGTTATGCTTAAGTATGAGTTTTGAGTCGACTTCAACCAACCATAACACTCAGTACAAGATAAGTTAGGTGTGACATAGGATGAAAAACAAAGTTCTTTGAATTATCTTTCCAACACCACCAAATTTTCTAAGTTTTGAGTTCCAAGAGTGAGATATTTCCTTTTTAAGTTAAGATATCCAATTAAGGAAAGTTACCCAAAAATATGAGGGATATTGTGGTCTTTTCCTTACCCAATCGGGTTTAAGCATTTTTAGTAAGATTTTAGGAGTTTAAACTGATAAGAATTATTTCCATTCATCCCCAAAAACACCTAGAGTCTTAGTGGAGAGTTCAAGAAGATAAAAGAAGCGTAAAGATGAGAGATCAAAGCATTCGTTCAAGAAATTAATCACCAAAAATCTAGTTCTTTGCGGTATGTAAGGTTTCATAGTGTTGGATTTGTTCAGCCACACGCCAATCATGATTTATGCAGTGTTATTTCATTCTTGAAATTTAAGGATTTAAGTTCTTGATGAGTTCTTGATAAATGTTCTTAAAGTTTTTTAGTCGATTAAGTTTTGATGTAAGATTCTACTTGGGTCAACTTAAAATGACCATATCTATTAAAATATAAATAGTTGTGTGAGTCAAAACTAATATAATTAAAGGTACTTGAATCCACCTTTCAACACCGTCTATTTCACGTCAATCTAATTTTTGAGTAAAACGTTATGACTATTTTAGTAACCTATACAGTGTTGTTACAAATTAGCTGATGGAAAACATTAAAAGGGGTTGTTTTTGTATTTTTTTTACCAAGAAAACCCTAATCAAATTTCTTGACTAATAAAAGGCTCAAAATAATCAAGTTTTCATCTTCACTAATGAAAATCATAATTCTTGTCCATAGAGATTTCAAGATATTAATTTAAAGAATCTCAAGAAATGTTTTTTTGATCGTTTATCTTTAAGTTAGGGTTTCAAGACTTCCAATCAAGTTCTTCTTTAAGATTCTTCAAGAACCTTATTCTTCCAGTTATGTAAGACCATCATAGTGTTGGGCTAGTTCGTCCTCACGCTCTACATATACTTTCAAATCAGTAAAAGAGAAATCTTGGATTCTATCCCTAGATTTGAGTATTGTTCATTTCTTCAAAGATTTTATGAGAACTAAGTATCCCCAAGAGTAAATGTTTTTTTACATTTAAGATGAGAGGAAATTGAGATTTCAAAAAGAGTTTTGAGCAAGAAAGGGAACCTCTCTGTCACGACCCAAAAATCGACCTGATGACACTCGTCTTATCTCACCATACAGGTTAGCCTAAAACTTAATCATTACAATAAAGTGTAGAAATTTTATAGTAAACTCAAAAATACCTCCAAAATATGGTTGTCACGTGCGCAAGCCTCTAAAGTATCAAGAGTAAGAAGGTCTGCGGAGATGACAAAAATCTACCTCACAAATCTACAAGAAGTCTCGAAAAAGAAATGAATATATCAGAAAGGTGCGGGCTAGTAACCTACAAAAAAATTGTAGAAACAAGGGGTGAGTCCAAACCACACGGTAATCAACAAGTAAATCTCTAAACACAAGTTAAGGGTATGGAATATGGGTACTCCTTACACACCAACCAAACCTCCACAACTACAACCTGATTAAAGTCAATCCAACGTAATAGTTATAATTCACAAAGCAAACAACTCGACAACAATACTCTAATAATTACATATTCTCAAAAACAAGCTCAACTCAATAATCATCAATCAAAGTTTCATAGAAAGGCACTCACAAGGTCAGCAAAACACTATATCATGTTCACTAATTATAAATATGTGCAATGCAATAAAATGCAATGTCAAGTATAATGATGCATGTCTGACCTAGTGATACACACTCACTGTATCTCAGTCCATGACCCATGGGGAATATATCTGTCCATGCATCTGTCGCGGCACACGACACATCCCTCGATAATAGAATTCATCGCGGCATGCAACACATCCCTCGACATATTGTATCCATCTCGGCGTGCAATATATCCCTCAAAATATAGTATCCATCACGGTGCGCGATACGTCCCTCGAAATGGTACATCCTCTTTAATTTCTTATTCTTTTTCAATGCACGTAACACTTGTCACAACCATGTTAGAGAATAATGTAAATGACATGTTCACAATGAGGAGATGACCATTTTCATAACCAATCACAATTCACAACAATGCAACTGTGATACTGTCACGACCCAAAACGAGTCGCGAGTGGAACCCACACGTATCCTACTATGTGAGCGAACCAACAAATCTAAACCCCAACATTTCAACCATAATAAACAGAATATAACGCGAAAGACTCAAAATCTTATTAATATAACTAATAAATAAACATTCTAAAGTTTATCAACTTATTATCCCCAAAATCTGGAAGTCATCACACCAAGAACATCTATCCTCAAATTCTAAGTCTAAGAGTATTTAAGAAACTAAAATAAGTAAAAGAGATGGTCCATGTCTGAACTTCAAGACATCAAGACGTGAAGGAAAGAATCCAGTCCGAGCTAGGAATAATAGCTCACCCTGAAATCTGATATGCTGAAGAATGGCTAGAGTTGCGAACGAGTCGAAGTCGATGGCACGTTTGCTGCACTCCACAAATAACAAAGAGAAGAAAATACAAGTAGGGGTCAGTACAAGGAACAAGTACTGAGTAGGTATCATCGGCCAACTCAAAATAGAAAGCAATATACATTGAGTAATAATATAAAATCAACTATAGCACTTAACATGTGATAAGCAACAAACAATATGAACAAGTGTCAATAACAATAAAGTAAGCACGTATTAAGTCAACGGTATCAAGATCACACCTGAGGACTCAAGCCTCCACACCATACTCATTTGGGAAATAGGTTCTTTAAGCTTGAGTATATTTCCATAATTCAAGATTCATTCTCTTTATTCCTCTTGTGTCGGAACGTGACACTCTGATCCCCTAATACTACGTGTCGGTTCGTCACACCCGATCCCCTAATACTACGTCTCGGTTCGTGACACCCGATCCCCTAATACTATGTGTTGGTTCGTTACACCCGATCCCCTAATACTACTTGTCGGTTCGTGACACCCGATCCCCTAATACTACGTGTCGGTTCGTGACACCCGATCCCCTAATACTACGTGTCGGTTCATAACACCCAATCCATTAATCTCATTCTTTTAGTTCATCAAGCCTTCTTTTATATCAAGGCATCATCATTAATAGAGTGGATTTAAGGTTTTTAAGATTCCATAGTATCATTATTATAATCCATCACCATTTACATAATCACAAAATGCAACAACACAATTAAGCATATAGAAGACTTTACAACACCACCCAATACATATCAATCGCTATTTAGAGTTTACTATGAAATAGCATAAACCATAACCTACCTCCACCGAAGAATCGTGATCAAGCAAGCTACTTCTCAAAGTCTTTGCTTTCCTCTTCGCTTCTCCCTCTCTCGCTCGTTCTTCCCTCTCTTCTTTCTCTTTTTCTTTTTTACCCTCATTATCATATAAATCATTATGATAAAAGTAACCCATTGTTTATTTTAAGGTTATCTCCTTTAACCCCCAAGTAAATAAGTTATTAAACTTACCCACTAATTTCATACGGTTTGTCATAAATAGTCCAAAACACCCCTGAAAATTTTTAGCATAAATCCGACCCAGTCGAGGTTACGCCGCTCGTGACGGCCTGTCGTGCCTGCGATGGTCCGTCATGCAGGGTCGTCACAGAGTTCAGAGACTCAACTTCACTAAAAAGGTTTGTGATGGCCCATCGTATCTACGACGGTTCGTGCTGCAATTTCGTCGCGAAGTTCAGAGAGTTGATTCCCCGTACCCAAATTTCAGAGTTTAAGTGTTTTGGCACGAAGACACTCGATGGTCCGTCGTGACCAAGACGGTCCGTCGTGTGATCCGTCAACATAGTCAGTTATTATCAAAAGTAATTCTACTGCTCAAAACGACTAAACAGGTCGTTACAGATACAACATCAACAAATAAGCAATAAACCTTCAAATCATTCTCAAACATCACACACCAACAATTTACTCAACATGGACAAGTCAAGTCATTACCAATTTCCACTACTCCCAAATATATATTACAGGGGAATACACGAATTCCACACACTTAACAAGAGTTTAGAGATCCACTTGCCTCAATGAATCAAAAATTCACTCTTCAATCTTTCCCTTTCATTAAACTTCCAACTCAAAGCAATCTATTCAAATAAACGACACAATAAGATTTCAAAACTAACGACACTCATAATGCTATGTGTTTAGCCTTGACCCAAAAATTCACCTAAATTTATAATCAAGTTCCTAAGTTTCAAGTTTAGGGTTAAGTCTTAATTTCTTCCAACAATGCAATCCTTATAGTTTTTATACAATATAATACACCTAACATTTAATTACATACCCCGGTATATCAAAACTTGAATCATAATATAATGAATATAAGGTAAATTCCAAAATTAAAACCAATGCATAACCAATAACCTTACCGAAATTTTGACCCATATTTACATCTAAGTCATTTATCATTATTAATAATTAACTACTCATAATTTCTAATTATTGACTAATGATTGACCACTCAAGGAATTATTCCCCCTTATGTCCAAATGACCCCAACGGTCACTGACATTTCATATTGAATTTAACAATTCACTTTCTTTCAAACCCAACAAAATAAATATCATAATATGCCAATTAAATATGTAGATATATAAAAATCTAAAGATTAACTACACTTATTTATATTGCTACCCACTTTCTAACATTCACGTTTTACTTTTTTTTCAAGCATAATTAATTGGTGTTACCTGGAGCCACCATGGTCATTCTCTTGGACGCCACAGGTAAGTTCCTAACTCCTTTTTTTTAAGAAATAATTATGTACTAAAACTGAAAAACCCTATTAATTTATTTTAATATGGGTTAAGTAGTAAAAATTATGACATTGACCCATTAACCACCAATAAAATAAATACATTATTTATTATATACCCGTCAATAACAAGAGTTATCGAATAGTTCAAAATTTTCAAACCAACTTCACTGACTGATCAAAATTGACTTAGGCAATTGTCGAAGGAGTAAAACAATAATTTTTATAATAATTTCCAAAAATATTTTTTAGGATCATTACAAATTCCAAGAGAGCTTTTATGCTATTTTTTTGAGTAATTATCTCAAACCAAAGAAATAGTTATGTTTTTAAACATATGAGCCGAGTGTTTTAGGATTAGTATTGAGCATCGATATGGGACGAGTTTGAGTTCAGACAACCTATGCCTCTATAAACAATGTACCATCATGGGTAGTAGAGGATCATACTTTTTAGATGACTCCCTAGTGCTTTTTAGCATAAATAGTGGATCCACTTAGTTAAGGCGTCCTATCTGACGGTAAAGTATAAGATAATCTGGCAGCGTGGACAAGACATTGTATCATCACTTAGGCTCATAGTGATGATTGTCGGTTAGAGAAACTTCCATAGAGTTATATTATATTTTGTTACATATAAATTGAGTTGTTATTGTATTCTTCAAAATGTTGAGTTAAAATCTAATGTTTTAAAAGATTTTCATATATTGCATGTGTATTGTTGCTTTATATTGAGCTGAGTATCCAGAGTCGAGTATCATATCTTTGAGTATCATATCTAATCTTTGAGTTGAGTATCTTATCCTTGAGTACTTCTGAGTTGAGTAAGTTTGATTAGTTTTCAGTATTCCTTGAGTTGTATATTTTTAAAGAGGTAAGTATGTTTTCTTTTTATCAAGTTCAAGCTTATATTTGTGTTTTATAATTCCCTTACGTGCTCGTACATTCCACGTACTGAGCCATTTGGCTTGCATCATTTCATGATGCAAATTCAGGTATTCCGGATCATCAAATGGAGCTTCGTTGATATCACATGGAGTTCGAGTAAGCTATGGTGAGCCTCTTTGCTTTCAGAGGATTTCATTTACTTTTCAGTTTTGTCAGGATGTCATGGGTTTCATCTCGACTTTCATCTTTGTTATTAAGAGGCTTTATAGACAATAGAGTTTTAAAAGTATGTTTATTTATTTTATTAAATGTTTAAACGACTTAAGTTGCCTATTTTAGGTAAGTTGAGTATATTATTTTATTCAAAGTTTTATTTGAGTTAAAGTTTTGTATTTCAGTTTCATAAATTTTATTCAATTTTTAAGCTTTGTATGCTTGAGTTAGTATTTCGCTTGTAGTTAGCCATGCTGAGGGATTCGCTTGAATGTCGGCCATGTCCAGGGTGTAGGCTCGAGTCATAACAATTTATCCGGTTGACTAAATGATGTGCACTTTTGAGATTATTTTAGGCAACTTTAAACAGTGTGAACCAATTTGACATTATACCTCTTTTTGTGGCCTACCTTGTGTGTGTGATCCTCTTTTGAACATCCTTTGAGCTTAACCTTTTCTCGGAAGAAACTTGATAAAAACATAACCCTTCTTAATCCATTACCTCATTTTTTAAAGATGCGACATCTAGCTTCATAAGGATTTGGTTTAATGAAAACTCAAAGTATACGAATTGGGTTTTTGTTATATTTCTTCAAGTGAACTCCCAAGCTTAAGAGATTAAAGAGCAAACAAGCAAACCTGGCTCTTGCAGCCTCGTAAGGAGCATGATGCCTCAGGAGTAAAATAACAACCACAGCTACTATGGAATAGAAAAGCCTTGATGTCCACTTAGGCCGCTCGTCTTCATACTTCTGAGGCCAAACTTGGAACAAATCTTGCAGTGCTGCTTTCTCGGTCAGAATGCTGGGAAAAAACCATACACGCTTCCCAAAAAGTGCCCAAATAGCACCAAAGATCAAAGCTCTTACTGCAAGCACAAATTATTCTTTGTAATGATGATTTATGCCCAATAGCAAACTCAAAAATATACATGACAAATTTGACAAGCATCTAGAGTTACCATTTTACAACAGGCATATTTTGCATAAATAAAGGAAATATTAGACACCACTTCAAGCAGAAATACTTTAATAAAATTTGTTGATGAGTGCCACTTAGGGATTTGGATGATTCAAGTGAAGGATAACAGAATAGGTTTGTTTGAATAGTCAACTTAGGCCAAAAGCCTAAGTTGGGGGTTTGGTGAAAAGAGATAGGTAAATCAATAAATGCAAGAAATTCCTCTTTGACCCATGGTTTTTTGAAAAAAATGGAACCCCTCCATAAAAAATAAGGAAAGAATAAAAAATAAAAAGAAAGAAAAAGTTGCGGGGTAAGGTTGTGAAAATGCAAAAAGACACAGGTTTTCCACCAGTCCATGAAAAGTGAATAATGGGATGACTTGTGAGCATGAATGACACACCACATTTCATGAGGACTATAACCATTGAGCCTAAATAACCATAGCCTTGCACTTTTCCCCATTACAAGCCTTTAAAGACCTTTTTGATCTTAAATGAGCTGAAACAAGGGTTGATTGGAAAATACGGGCAAACCTATGGGTGAAGTCATGTATTGTGTTCATCTTTGTGAGTGTGAGCCGTTGCATTTGATTCCGGAGCTTTAAATTGTGAACCATTGTGTGTGAATATAGAATCATTCTTTGTGTGAGGGTATTTGAGTTTCTTTGTTGAGCTTTAATTTGTATGTGAAGTAAGTATTGTGAGCTTAAGATTCTTTAATAATGGTGAGTCATAACATCAATCTTTGAGTGCACAATTGATCCTTGCATTAGTAAATTGTGTCTTTTTGTGTACATTCATGATTGGATCTTATGTAGCACTATTTGATACATTCTTTTTGAACTGTTGAATTTGAGTTTTACTTGAGGACAAACAAAAACTTAAGTTGGGGGTGTTGATACGTCCACGATTTAGACTCAATTAGGGCTTTATTTTAATATACTTAGTGTCCTAAAGTGCATAATGTGTGCCATTAGCTGATGTAAATCCTTGAATTTCAGGTATTTAGATTGAGGAACAAAACATGGACTCTAATGAGCAAAAAGGAACAAGTCAACTGAAAGAACAAAAAAAACAAGGCCTGGGAATCACCTAACCCATTAGGCGAGTAGCCGAACGACCTTGGTATCACCTAATGTTCTAGTGTGCCAAGCCCTGAAGGAGAAGATCAAGACGGTGATAGAAAAGAGCAGTCGCCGAACGATTCCACGATGCAGTGTCATATCGCCTAAAGTTACAAAGCTTGAAGTTGCTGAAGGCCAACGCAAAAAGACAATGGAATTAATCAAATGATGGATCGCCGAGTGAATCGGTGATCCCGACTATTTCACGAATGGTCCTTCGCAATACATTTTTTGACAAGTGTAAATACTTGTTTGAATTTTTAGTCTAAAAGGATCTTTGATGTAATTTTGAATAGAAGTTTTCATATTGTTCATTTTTCAAGTTTGAGATCTTAAAACTTACTTGTATTTTCACATTACTTGTTTTAGTTGATAGTTGAAAACAAAACCCCCTTTTGATATTTGACACTTGTGTCACTCCAAACTTTCATTATGTTTTATTTGTAAATATTTTTAGGTATGATTGACTAGATCATATTTGCACTTGTCTATTGATTCTCAAAACCACTCCTTGTGGGAACGATCCCAACCCTTGGTTGAGTTACATTACTACTCACAATCGTTTGCACTTAGTATTAAATGAAGTGTTCTGATACGTGAAATCAGGACTCGCTCTCGTTGAATCTTCTCAACATATGAAATATTTTATCGATTCCATAAATTATCACATAAGATATACATGATTTTTCCATCGAAAATGATATCTGAATATTTTGAAATCTTTGTAAAATTCCAGAAAATGGCAAAAAAATTATTTTCTAAAGAAATTAAGATATTTCAGTGTGATAAAGGTGGTGAGTTTATCAAGACAGATTTCGTCAAGTATTTGGAATATTGTGGTATTGTGAGACATATTTCATATCCTAACACACCTCAATAAAATGAAATTTCAAAAGAAAACATAGGCGTATTGTGGAGATTGTCTTAACTCTACAACTTCATGCTAAGCTACCTTTGTTTCATATGTTAAGACTTCCCTCACTGCAGTGGTACTCATTAATAGACTTCTCTCCTCATTCCTAAAAATGATGACTCCATTTGCTACGTTATATGGAGAGCAACCTGATTATAATAGCGTATGGAGAGCAACCTGATTATAATAGCACAAAGGTGTTTGGGTATAGATGTTTTTTATATATCACTGAAGACTTATCCTTGTCTATTCAAAGCGCAAAATATGTAACAGAAAGGATATGAATGTTATCATCCCCATACAAGGAGGTTGCATGTATCCAGAAACTTGTTTTACTAAAAACACATTGTCCTCGCGTCTCCAAATTAATCTCAACTAATATTGACATCTCACGTCACCCTGCTACTTTTATTGAATCTTTCTCTAAATTATAATCACATGGTAATCATAATTCAGGGGAAGTGCAAGCTGATAGTAAACAAGTTAATGGTGAAAATGCTGCAACAATAACCCATATACTCTTTGATGATGAGAGTGCTATTGGTCCCTCATTTGAAGGATCAGATGATGATCATGAGGAATAAGTCAAAGTGATGATCCACACAGAGGTAATGAAACACCAGATTGATAAGGCTCCAATTGCAGATTTAGGTTCTTCTAGTGACGGTAAGGAACAAGTTGCATGTGTAGGTCCAGTCAATGATTATTTATCAAATCTCACTTTCTCTGTGTCTAATTCACAAAATACATTAAAAAGTTGACTATTCCAAGTGGAATATGCTTAGTCATCATCAACATGAGATATTACACTACAATTAACTACTTTATTTGATGTACATCCTGCACCACAAGGGCATCATATGATCACCTGATACAAGGCAAAATAACAACACTTATCATTCGTTGCTTACAACAGCAAGAAGATCTTGAGGGAACCAAATACTACTAAGGAAGTGCTAAATGAGAGAAAATCGTATACATAAATCTATATATTTTCGTTCTATACACTTATAATTATAAAAATAAAGATCTTCCCCTACCAGTTCTCTTTTGCCTTTCTCTCTTTCTCATTTTATACAAACACAAATTATACAAATTACAATGTATAATTATGTTGTGTAGAGCGAGCGAGATTTGATATACAAATATTTTGTTTCGATTCAATTGTGTACATATTCAAATTTTATGTAGATACACAAACACAATCATTGATATATATATACATAGTAATTACATATATATAATTATCTAATCGATACACATATAATTATTGCCTTTTATACAAACGAGATACTCGCCTGCGATATATACAAATCTAATACTCCATAACAAAAATAGGAGCACAAATAACAAAATTGTAGTGCTCTTTTACTCTTAAAAGTATCTTCTAAATGAAAGAGGGTTAAAAATGTCCTTAAACTATGTGAAATGAACAAAAATGTCTTTTATTTATGATTTGATCTAAAAAATTATTTTTTGCAGTTAATACATCAGTCCAAAAATGTCTTTCTTGTTACTTAATAAGTCAAAAACCATTTTCACATAATTATATTATTATTTTTTATAACATTCTTTATCAAATATAAATTTTAATTAGTAAATATTTATCCTACATCAATTTGGAATAATAAAAAAATTCCTATCTTATTATAATTATTTTATCTTTATATAAATAAAAACTAATTATTTATTTACTATGATCTTATAAGTATGACATATTATCCGTGAAAAAAGAGAACACGTGGTTGTTCTATTTTAATTGATAAAATGAGATTATGAAGAAAAAATTATTTCCTACATTTTTATTACTTATAAGTGATTGTAAAAGAAACAAAACAAGAATAAAGTTCTTAAACAAAACATTTATTAGGAACAAAATGTGTTTTAAAAGAAAAGAAATAATATATTTACTCGAAAAATAATATTTTTGATCCATTCAGTAACTATAGGGTATTTTTAGACCAAATTATCAACGATAAGGGTATTTGTACCAAAGTATTGACTGCACGAGTAATTTTGTTCATAAATAATACTCCCACCATTCCATATTAACTTAAGTTTTGAGGTGTTTCATACCGTTTAAGAAAAGTGATTAGGACATAAATTAAATATAATTTTTTATTTTTATCCTTATTAATTATTAAAAAAATAACTAAACATTAATTATAATAACTAATTTCAATACTAACTTTAAAGGTAAAATTGAAAGAATATTCTTGAGAATTGAAATAGTCTTGAGAATTGAAAACTTAGATTAATTTAAAAAATGAAAAAATGATCAAAACTTAAATTAATATGGAACGGAGAAAGCATTTTATTCATTTCACATTTTTGAGAATATTTTTGATCTTTTTCATTTTTTAAATGGACTAAAAAGGAAAAAGCCAAGTAGCATTAAATTTTTCGAAGAGTCCCTCACACATTGAATCCTTTCCCTTTCTTGACGTTACTTACTATCTTCCAGTGAAACAAAAACTATTACCCCTTTTTGGACAACTCCTTTTCCATTTTAGTTCTTCAACTTTTCTTGTGATCTCAAAAATCTTTGATGGGGAGATTATTTGTGTTGACTCTTGAAGGCAACTTCTACAGCTGCAAGCATTGTGGAACTCATCTTGCCCTTTCTGAAAACATTGTTTCCAAGGTTTTCCTCCGTCTTTTTTGTTTGATCACTCTGTTGTTGTGATTTCTTGAAATTTAATTTTGATTTTGATTTGTTTCGTTATAAAAATACTATCTTTGGCTTGATCGGTGGTTTTGTTTCTAGAACTTGTTAGGGATTGTTGTTGGTCTGTTTCAGTAATTTTAGATGTATATAAAAATTGGCTACTTTAAATCAGCTATGTGAGTGAAGAAGGTGTAAGATTGAGTAATTTTTCCCTAAAGGAGATGAATTTTTAGCATCAAAGAGCTGGGTTTTGTGGAGTTGCTGGGTTTGGAGTAAAAGGGATTGTATGAGCATTCTTTGAGACTTAGAAAAAAAATAGTAGTTATTATTGCTGATAGCATACAATACAATAATTCTGCTTAATCCAGTGAAGAATTGGAGGAGTTGTTTGCTGAGTCTGATACTTGGTGTATACTTGATTGGCATTTTCCATTTAATCCATGTTTGTGGCTTCAATATTCGAACTATAAATTGTTATGCCCAGTTCATTGATCAGGTCCTGGGACTGATCTATTTTCTATTTTTTCATCAATTTGGTGCTTGTTTGGTCTCTTCATTTTGCTTAATTTCATTGTAATGTGCATTCATGATTTCTGGTGAAGAATTCCATATGACTTCTCTAGCATAAAATAAGAGCACATTTTCAAGTGTTGCAGCTTTAAAACTACTGTTCCTTAGAAAATTCATATGCTTTTGAATAGAGTGAACTGTTGATTCTACAATTAATTATATTGTAGTTTATGTTACATCCTTGTTTCAGCCCCTATATAATGTATGTAGTCATTCTGAGTCCTGAAGTAATCTAACTCTATGTTTTCCTTCTGATCTTTCCTTCAGTCTTTTCGCTGCAGACATGGGAAGGCTTATCTCTTCAGTAAAGTGTAAGTCTCTTTGATTCTGCACATTCAATCATCAGATATGTTTGTGACATTTTCACATGTCCAATCGTTAAACTTCCAGCATGAAAATCACCAGTGCAACTTACAACTTCTGTTGGTTTTATTCTTGTTAGAGTATGAATTACCATTTATTTGCACTGATTGTTGTTAACTATTAATCTTTTCTTGGCATTATTTGATGGGACATGAGTTATTTTTAGATTGGTTAGATGAAAAATGATATTACTAAGGTCAAGTTTATCCATACCTCTGGTACAGAAAGATGAAAAAAGCTACCATATAAATCCTCTTATTTTACTTCCACCCCTTCTTTTACTGGTGTGGAGGACATTGTTAAACTAGAAAGTGAAAAAAGATGAAGTATTGAAGAACTCATCTTGGTAGTAGTTAGCCAAAATTTTCATAATTTGAAATGAAAAAAGATTTGTTTTTCAGAAGTTGAGTGCAACTGGAGTATGTGCAAATTATTAGGCTTTTACTCTACGTGGGTCACGTAGTTCTCAGGATCTTTGATTTTGTTATTAGCTCAGAGTCATTATTGTTGTGGAAGGTCACAACCAACCTAGAGTATTTGAGTGCACCTGAAAAGTTGTGTACAAGGCAGGCCATACCCTGTAGGTTTAGTTTGTTAAAGACACGGTACTTTATATTTATATCTTCATACATTTGTGTCATTGACATTGCTATCAGGATCTTTGATTTTGTTATTAGTTCCGAGTCATTATTGTTATGGAAGGTCAAAACTCATAACCAACCTAGAATATTTGAGTTTACATGAAAAGTTGAACAAGGTGGGCTATACCTTGTAGGTTTAGTTTGTGAAAGACATGGTACTTTATATGTATATATTCATACATTTATGTCATTGAATATCAAATTAGCACCAGAATTTGATCTATTGTGAATCACCATAAAACCTAGTGGGGATTTTACCAAACTATTATATTGTGTACTTCTGAATGTATTTTCCAGGAGTACAAATATTAACACATCAATATATAGAATAAATTCTTACTTGACTTAGGTTATTTTCCACTTGGTAGCAGCATTACAATAGTTACATGGCTGAAATACATATATTGTGCTCAACATAATTGCTTTCCTGTTTAAAAGTTCTGCTCTTGTCAAATCTCTTCATTTTATTTCATCATTTAGCAGAAACATACAAAATAATAATGCACTTGTAGTTCTGTATATTCTATACGCTTTTTCTTTCTTTTGACAGGGTGAATGTCACTTCTGGCGAGATGGAAGATAGAGTGATGATGACTGGTGTGCATACTGTGGCAGACATTTTCTGCGTCTGTTGTGGGTCAATTGTTGGATGGAAATATGTGAGTATGGAGCGATAAAATGCTATACATTTTCGTTTGGCAGTTGCTAGAAGTTTTAATTGTTCCTAATATAACAATTCTTTTCAGGAGACTGCCCATGAGATGAGCCAAAAGTACAAAGAAGGAAAATCAGTGCTTGAGCGGTCAGTTGATTACTTCAGTTTTCTTTAGAATTGAGTTAGGAACATATGGTAAGTCCCCACTGAGGTACTTCCTTTTATACTCAACAGGTTTAAGATTACTGGCCCTGATGGAAGCCATTACTCGGCTAGTCATGATACTCATGTTGCAGGAAGTGATGCTTATGATGTTTGATGACCATTCAGAACAAAAATTCTATCCAAAAATGTACATTCTTTAACCCACCACCCTATTAGTTCTTTATGGACCATTGGATTCTTGAATAGCTTAAGCTATTACAACTTCTTTAAGCTTGTCCTCTAGTGTGTACGATAATATGGAAGCAGCCATGTGTCGTTGCAAACTAACATGACCGTCTACCCGTATTTGTTTGCAATGACAAGACATTACTAGTAGCAACCACTCTGCTTTCATTGCTTCGATCTTATGGTAGTTATTTGGTAGCTCAATAGAGTTATGCAGCTATTAGTTATGCAGATATTACTTATGCGGGTATTACCTATGCACGTATTAGTTAAAAAGGTAGTCTGTACATGAATTTCTGAAATAAAACCAAGAACTATAAATTGATTTGTCGTCTACTTTGCCCTTATCATAACCATCCCATATCCTCCCTGATTGACTCCCATAGACCATTTAGGTCTACCTGTGCAGAAAATAAGAGATTTGCCATAAGGCCCCAATATTTCTATCAAGGCAGTTGCCGAACCATACTACATAGTTCTGCAATCAACAAAAGCTTAAAAAATTAGCACCTTACCCCATCATCACATCAAAACTTGGTAGAGTTCATAGCAGTAAAACTGGTCTGGTATGGTGTGAAGTTTTTTCCAAATGTAAAACAAAATGATGTCCAAAACTAGCTAATATCTTTGTCTGACAATCAGGGCTTTATTGTTTTATTGACAAAATTATGACAAGGAAAACTCTCCCTCAACAAAGTTCTAGTAGATAACAACTATTTGACTATAATTTAAGATTATTTAGCAGATGTGTAATGACCTATTCCGTCATTATTGTTGTTTAGGGCTATAGTACCCTAGTGTAGACTGTAGTTCTTCGTGGGTCAAGAGTCCGTAGAAATCTGGAAATGGAAAATAGAGTATGATAATCTGCTAGTGTTTCACTATAGCGGACATTTACTTTGTAATAACTAGATTACTATTTCAACCTCATTAACTACTGTTGAGCGATTCACATGCTTAAAGAATCAATTTTATGGGGTTTCTAGGTAGGCTAGGTTTATATTTCTATACTAGTTAACGGACTACAATTGGAAATCATTCATAATTATCCTACCCCACATGTTGTGCCATTTAAATAATAACCCTAGGTTTCAATTGATAAAATCCTATGGATATCCTTTCAGTTCTGGGAGGAAACCGAATTATGGAAGAAATGAATCAAAAAGCACTTACCTCTAAAGAAAAACCCCAAGTCTTGGAAAAATCTCCTCTGGGGTTCTCTGGTCAAATATTTTACAGTATGACTAAGTTCGGACAAAAACTAACATAAAAACGAGTTATTGTTTTCCAATCTTCTCTATAGCAAAACTTTACAACTTCGTTATTTTTATTATTATTATTATTTTATGACAAGGAAAACCCGAAGCCGCTACCCTTTGGGTGCACACAGAGTAGAACCCCCTCTCTTATGCAATAGCTCGCAAACCACATAAGAGAGGTAACCCGCACTAGGTAAGCCCGTTGGGACGAGCTTGACCCAGAAGTCAAACCCCTTGCTTTCACTAGCAAGGGTTTTCAAACTTGAGACCTCTAACATGGAAGTCCCAACTTCACGACTTCGTTCTGATCTTGCGTACTTTTGATTCGATAAAATCATCTTTAAATAATTGATTAAATCTCATAAAAAGGAAAAATTATATGACTTTGAATACTTAAGACCTTCTTTTGAGAAAGAAGATTAATTTGTTGGCATATTTCGAGAATGAATGTCACTAAGGGGAAAGGATGTAGCATCCAAAATGTTCAAGATTGTCCGTTGTCTCATGTTGAGAACTTAAGAGTAATAAGTCTAAATATGAGAGTGTTATTATTGTTCGTCGTCTCATGTTAAAAACTTACGGGTAATGAGTCTAAATATGAGAGTTTTATTATAACACTACTTTTGTTCAATATTTGATTTAAATTAAAATTTTGACAAAAATATATGTTCAATTTCTTCCTAAAATGCCTAAAAAGTTATGGAAGTTTCTAGCTAACTTGAAAATTTTAGCTTCTAAACCTCATATGTTATTGGATATGCTGACCATTCTCGTTTTCCTTGTACAATGTATATATGTCATGCCTCAACGATCTAAATATTTTTTTATTTCAACCTTTTTACACATTTTGTACTCGATAAGAAATTATTGGGCAAAAATATTTGATGTTTGGCTTTCATAAGGTCACAATTCAGATAAAAGTATGAAGTTTTGTCCAAATGAAAATAATGAAACCATAATTATGTCCAAGACTAGCTAATATTTTGTTCGACGCTCATGACTTTATTTTTTTATCAACAAAATATGACAATTTTATCCTCAATACAAAAAACTCTCCCACAACAAATTTTCAGTAGATAACAACTATTTGACTACAATTAAGATTATTCAGCAAATATGTAACGACTTGTTCCATCCTTATGATTGTTTAGGGCGATAGTACCCTTGTGTAGATCTCCATGAGTTAAGAGAATCGGTAGAAATCTTGAAACTGAAAATCGAGTGTGAAATTCAGTTAGTGCATCACTATATTGAACACTTCTTTAAATAGCGAGATTGCTATAACGAAGGAATGCTACATTGAGAAAGTAGCGAAGTTTCTCTATAGTGAAGGTCGGGAAACGGTATCTCGTGTTTTTAAGTTAGTCCTCATTCAAACTTAGTCATAATGTAATTTTTTTTACTAGAGAGGAGATATTTCTAAGACTTGGTGATTTTCTCTCTTGAGGCAAGTGTTTTTGGTTTTTTTATACGTTCCTTCCGTACTTCGATGTCCTCCCTGAATTGAAAGATATGCTCTTCATAGGATTTTACACATTGGAACCTAGAATTATATTTTAATGGCACAACATGTGGGGCAGGTTAATTATGAACAATTTTCAATTTTTTTCCGTTAAACTTTGTCTACTAGTATACACTACAACATAAATAACTTTTAGCGGCATTATATATTGACATTAATAAAGAGTGCTAAAGTCTTTACTGATTAATTAAGTGTCATTAGAACTAATATCGCTTAAGGCTTTAGGGACATATATAAAGAGTGTCAATTGCCACTAAAAATACATATTTAGCGGCTAATGATAATTTTTGTTGTGGTAATATAATTATAAACCTAGCCTTAATTATGAATTTGAGGAACCTAGAAATCCCATAAAAATGATTATTTTAAGCATATAAAATGTTGAATAGAAGTTAATGGGGTTGAAACTTTATGAATGAGATTGATATGATCATGCAAACTTTCGATTTAATAAAATAGTCTTTAAATAATTGATTAGACCTTCTAAAAAGGTAGACTTATGTGAGTTGAATGCCTAAGAGCTTTGTTTAAGAAAGTAGATAATTAATGTGTCCTCATATTTTGAGGATGAATGATCCCAAGGGAAATAACACACTGGGTGTTTAAGATTGTATGCCGTCCCATATTGAAGACTTACTAGTAACGAGCCTAAATATGAAAATTTTATTATAACATCACTTTTGTTAAACAACATTTGATTTAAATTAAAATTTGATAACAATATATGTTCAATTTCTTCTTAAATTGCCTCAAAAATTTATGAACATTCTTTAGTTCCACTTCAAAATTTATAACCTTCTAAACCTCACATATGATTGGACATGTGGACCGTCCGTGTGTCACATTTACAGTCCATATAGTCCATATATTTGTTATACTCATACCTCAACAATCAAAATTTGATATTTTAAATTCTCTTTGATTTCAACCTTTTTGTACACCTTGTACATGATAAGATAGTAGCTTTCACATATATTTACATTTGCTTTAGCATAGCTCGGTCAAAGCAATGAAAGTTAATGACTCAAATCTAATTCAAAATTTTGAAGTGTCAAAGTTGACCTTAGTTTGACCTTAGTGAGTCGTACCAAAATTACGGCAAAATTATTTTATATTTGGCTTTCATAAAACAACAATTCCGACAAAAATGTGTTAAGTTTTATCCAAATGAAAATGTAATTGTTGATACCCAATTTTATCCTTCATTTTCATCTTTTTACGAGTGTCTTTTATTTGCGAGGTCAAAATATTTTTTAAGCTATCTACATTTTGTCTTAGTGGACTGAGGAGAAAAGGGCTTCGGCGGGAAGAAGAATATAACATGAAATAAGTAAGGAGATCAACCTCTTTCAAATATACAACATGGATTATAATAATGTAGTTGGACTCTCATGTCGATCCGCATGAATCATCCTTTCCAAAGAAGTAAATCTTTGTCTGTTAGGCAAGAGGATAGTAAGTTCCAAGTTCTATCTCAGATATTTCTATTACTATGAAATTCATAAATAAAGTAGTTAATGATAGTTTTTTAATTACCGTATTTGTATTTATTCACCTTTATTAAATACTTATAAATGATCATTTTCAAAGTTCAATTACCATTATGCTCAAGCATTTTTACAAAATCTAGTTACAATCATATTTTTAATTTGGTTTCACTTGTATTTAACAAAATCTAGTTATAATCATATTTTTAATTTTGGTTTCACTTGTATTTACATATTTTATTATTCTTTTATACTATCTTAGTTTAGTTAGTTTTGGTAGCATAGAACTTACTGTAAGCCGAGTATATTTTCTGTCATCATATAAATTTTTCTTGCAACTTATTGGATTATCTAAATGATGTGTAACTCTCTACTCAGCAGGTCCTTTTTTGGGGGGTTTTGCGTCCTAGCAAAACTACCAAGATTGATTTTAATTCTTAATCATGTGTTTTCATTTGTCTTCTTGTTGCTACAATTCTCATTTACCCAAATTTCTTTTTCCTATTTATTTGAATATGCTTTATTATAAGTTTGGTGTTTATTGGAAATAGTTTCTTTATCTCTAAGAAATACGGATATGATATGTGTACACTCTATCTCTATCCCTCTTCAAATTTCACTTTTGAAAATTACATTTATTTTTGTTTGATGATATTATTGTTTTTGTAATTATGTGTTTATGCTAAGTACTTTCGATGAAGCCTTCTATATTTTTGAATGTTATCAAACTGATCAACTGTTTAAAGTAAAAAAACTTTTGTATTAGGTATTTATATCAATTTCAAATTACAGTGATTCACGAACTTTAATATAGGGAAATTGATTAGTCTAAAGTTACACGATCTTTAAATAAGATTCACATTTCACAAAAGACGTTCAAGTCGTGTCAAAAAATAGTACTAAGATAATTAATGAACTTTGATAGAATAATCACCCAATGTATGTGTTAGTAAACTATGTCATAATCATTTTTACCATCTTGTCTCGTTAGTCTATTTATATGTAAACCTTTCTTACTTTCTTATTTTATTTTTTTCTTTTTAATTCATTAAACTTTTTGGACATACATATTCTCACTTCATTAAACACTTTTTATATGTATATCTTTTTGATTTTAACCATGACAAGCGGAGAAGACAATGTGTGAAGCGTAGCTTAAAAGGATCGACCTTAGAATTCTCTACCTGACCCTCCTACCACTTTATTTTTTTCCCTTCCAACCACGTTCAGATTTGTATTTTCATTTGAATCAAAATCGACATTAGAATTCTCTAAATCTTCTGCTAGTGCATCCAAACGAGCATTTATTGCTTCCTGTCTGGCCAAATTGGTTGTACGTTTTTCATGGAACAATTTCACCAATTGTGCTAGTTGATGTTGAAATTGGTCTTCCATAACTCCAGGCTCTGATATCAAGTTGTTATGGCCCCTGTTATGAATCTAGTATAAAATATGAAGTTTTCTTCTTACGACCTATGGTATTGGTTCGTTAAGAGAGAACCTGCAATCTCTCGAGTTAAAGTACTCCAAAAAAATGAAGGAAATGTATCTAATCTTGAAATAGGACATGTCTTTCTGACTAACTGCAATGAAAAATTGCACTATTACAGAAAAATAACTACTACTAGAAGGAAATGTCTACTGCTAAAATGAAATAACTAATGTTGTAACTATTGGATGACTAAGGAGTGATGACAAGTGCCCTACTTGTGTCATGTAGAACGATACACGTCTCCAAGTCTACTGAACTATTTAAATGTTAAAGGCTAGGTGTTTGACATGTGACACTAAAGACTCTGAATACAATTTATATGTCCATCTCAAACTTTGATGTCATACTTCTCCAAGAAGTATTCTTAATACATGCTAGCTGAATTCAATTTCTTGATGTTACAAGAGAAGATAGCTAAGAGGGTTGAGGATGCAAATTTTGAGTGATAAAATATAAGGATATCAAAGCAAGTTTTATTCTAATATCATGAACAGAGAGAAAACACGTATAGTTTGTAGATGTTTTCAGTTTAGGTACAAAAATTAATGGCTGCCATATATCAAATTCTAGCATTCAAATAAATAATGAGAGTTGTGGTGCACCCTCTTTCTGTGAAGTTGAAAAGCAGAACAAAAAGGGCTTCTTGAACCTCTGATGTTGAATTATTTTGTTGATTCATGAATCAGATTTCCCAGACATTCTATTTAAATCCTATCTGCAATTCTGTATGCTTTATTATGAGATGTTATTTTCCTGTTTCAGGCTTCTAACACCTCCAGGCACTCTTCTTTTCTCTTCTCTAGAGATGGAATCACGCAAAATTATGATGAGTCAGCTGGGAACTTCTAGAGCTCACCCAACTGCATTGACATCTAGAGTAAGAATATGTATATTCTACTGTTACATTCATTCTTTGCTGAAATGCATTATTTGTAATTGGAAATTAGCATATTTTCACTTTTGTTATGTTTAACACGGGAAATGTTGACCATCTGTGTTATCTGAAAGTATTTCATCCCATATCCAGCCACCAGAGGGATGTGGAGATCTCAAGGAACCTAAAAGGATATTTCTTTAATTAAACAGGAAGACCCTGACAGGTTCTTTATTTCAGACTGTGTGTACAATGATGGCTCCATTGTTTAGTCAAATGCTATTCGCAAAAGCCCTCTGCTGAATTTGAGGATTATTTTAGTTTTTGAATGTAGAGGTGTGATGTACAACTGCTCCCATGCTTAGTTCAGGCGACAAAGGCCGAGGAACTTGTGAACTAGGTCTAAATTAGAGCTCTATACCATGTGAACTAAGCTTAACATTTAATTGGAGAGTAGTAGAGGGCTGGGCCCATAATTCCCGAACTCTGAATGTTGCAGTTGGTCGTAATGGTTGACTTTAGATGCATACAATTATCAGAAAGAAAAAGTATGTCTTACATTTCTCTTATTATGCTTCTTGTGGGATATTATGAGTACCCGATCTCTTAGATATCAAACCATGAAAACTTAAACTCCTAGGAATATGTTTGGGCTATGATTTCTTTATCCTAGTAAGGATGTATTAGCTAGCACATGCTCTTATGACGGGGTGTCTGTGATCAGTGCACTGGAACAAAATGTGTTTAAAAATAAAATAAATAAATATTTATTTGAAAAATAATATTTTTGATCCATTTAGTAACTATAGGGTACTTTTGGACCAAATTATCAACGATAATTGTATATGTACCAAAGTATTGACTGCTCGGGTGATTTTGTTCATAAAATAATAATATTTTTATTCATTTCACCTAATTTAATGATATTATTGATCTTTTCCATTTTTAAATGGACTAAAAAGAAAAAAAGCAAGTAGCATTAAATTATTCAAAGAGTCCCTCACACATTGAGTCCTTTCCTTTTTCCTGACGTTACTTACTATCTTCCAGCTGAAACAAAAACTATTACCCCTTTTTGGTAAAGTCCATTTCCATTTTGGTTCTTCAATTTTCTTGTGATCTCAAAAATCTTTGATGGGGAGATTATTTGTGTTGACTCTTGAAGGCAAGATCTACAGCTGCAAGCACTGTGGAACTCATCTTGCCCTTTCTGAAAACATTGTTTCCAAGGTTTTCCTCCGTGTTTTCTGTTTGATCACTCTGTTGTTGTGATTTCTTGAAATTGAGATCTTTTTAATTGGATTTTAATTTTGATTTATTTTGTTGTAAAAATACAATCTTTTGCTTGATTGGTGGTTTCGGTTTCGTTTCTAGAACTTGCTAGGGATTGTTGTTGGTTTGTTTAAGTAATTTTAGATGTATATAAAAATTGGCTACTTTAAATCAGCTATGTGAGTGAAGACTGTCTTGGATTGAGTAATTTTTCCCTAAAGGAGATGAACTTTTTAGCATCAAAGAACTGGGTTTTGTGGAGTTGCTGGTTTTGGAGTAAAAGGGATTGTACGAGCATTCTTTGTGAATGCTTAATCCAATTATGAATTAGAGGAGTTGTTTGTTGTGTCTGATACTTGGGAGTATCCTTGATTGGCATTTTCCATTTGTTCAATGTTTGTGTGCTAGTGACTTCAACATTTCAAAATATTATTGTTATGCCCAGTCCATTGATTGGGTCTTGTTATGATCTATTTTCTATATTTTGATCAATGTGGTGCTTGTTTGGTCACTTTATTTTGCTCAATTTCATTGTAATGTGCATCCATTACTTCCTTTGTTATGTAAGTGACTTTGTAGGTCAATCTGTCCTATGAAGAATTCCATGAATTCTATAACATAAAATCGAGCACATTTTCAAGTGTTGGATCTTTAAAACTGCCGTTTCTTTGAAAATTCAAATGCTTTTGAATGGAGTGAAATGTTAATTCTGCAAGTTATGATATTGAAGTTTATGTTACATTCTTGTTTCAGTCCCTAAATAATGTATATAGTCATTCTGAGTCATGAAGTTATCTAACTCTATGTTTTCCTTCTGATCTTTCCTTCAGTCTTTCCACTGCAGACATGGGAAGGCTTACCTCTTCAGTAAAGTGTAAGTTTGTTTGATTCTGCACATTCAATCATCAGATATATATGTGACATTTTCACATGTCTAATCTTTAAACTTGCAGCATGAAATCACAACTGCAACTTACAACTTCTGTTGGTTTTATTCTTGTTAGAGTATGAATTACCATTTTTTCCTCTGATGTTGTTAAACTTTTTGTTGGCATTGATGGGACATGAGTTATTTGTAGCTTGGTTAGATGAACAATGATGTTACTACGGTCAAGCTAATCCATCTGGTACAGAATAATGAAAAAAGCTACCATTTCACATGTCTAATCTTTAAACTTGCAGCATGAAATCACAAGTGCAACTTACAACTTCTGTTGGTTTTATTCTTGTTAGAGTGTGAATTACCATTTTTTTCCTCTGATGTTGTTAAGATTTTTGTTGGCATTGATGGGACATGAGTTATTTGTAGCTTGGTTAGATGAACAATGATGTTACTACGGTCAAGATAATCCATACATCTGGTACAAAAAGATGAAAAAAAATACCATTTAAATCCTCTTATTTAACTTCCACCCTTCTTTTACTGGTGTGGAGGACACTGTTAAACTAGAAAGTGAAAAAATGAAGTATTGAAGAATTCATGTTGGTAGTAGTTAGCCAAAATTTTCATGATTTGATATGAAAAAAGATTTGGTTTTCAAAAGTTGAGTGCAGCTGGAGTATGTGCAAATTATTTAGCTTTTACTCTACATGGGTCACATAGCTCTTAGGAACTTTGATTTTGTTATTGGCTCTGAGTCATTATTATTATGGAAGGTCACAACCAACCTACAATATTTGAGTGACATGAAAAATTGTGTACAAGGCAAGCTATACCCTGTAGATTTAGTTTGTTAAAGGCATGGTACTTTATATTTATATCTTCATACATTTGTGTCATTGACATTGCTCTTAGGTTATTTGATTTTTATTAGCTCCGAGTCATTTTTATCATGGAAGGTCACAACTAACCTAGAATATTTGAGTGCACATGAAAAGTTGTGTACAAGACAGGCTATACCCTGTAGGTTTAGTTTGTTAAAAGACATGGTATTTTATATTTATATCTTCATATATTTGTGTCATTGACATTTCTCTTAGGATCTTTGATTTTGTTATTAGTTCTAAGTCATTATTATTATGGAAGGTCATAATTCATAACCAACCTAGAATATTTGAGTGTACATGAAAGTTGAACAAGGTAGGCTATACCTTGTAGGTTTAGTTTGTTAAAGACATGGTACTTTATATGTATATCTTCATGCATTTGTGTCATTGACTATAAAATTAGCACCAAAATTTGATCTATTTGAATCACTATAGAACCTAGTGGGGATTTTACCAGACTATTATATCGTGTACTTTTGAGTGTATTTTCCAGGAGTACAAATATTAACACATCAATATATTGAATAAATTATTACTTGACTTGGGTTATTTTCCACTTGGTAGCAGCATTACAATAGTTACATGGCTGAAATACATATATTATGCTCAACTTGATTGTTTTCCTGTTCAAGAGTTCTAATCTTCTCAAATCTCTTCATTTCTTTTTATCATTTAGCAGAAACATACAAAATGATAATTCACTTGTAGTTCTGTATATTCTATACGCCTTGCTTTTCTTTTGACAGGGTGAATGTCACTTCTGGCGAGATGGAAGGTAGAGTAATGATGACTGGTTTGCACACTGTGGCAGACATTTTCTGCGTCTGTTGTGGGTCAATTTTTGGATGGAAATATGTGAGTATGGAGCGATAAAATGCTATACATTTTCGTTTGGCAGTTGCTAGAAGTTTCAGTTGTTCCTAATATAACAATTCTTTTCAGGAGACCGCCCATGAGATGAGCCAAAAGTACAAAGAAGGAAAATCAGTACTTGAGCGGTCAGTTGATTACTTCAGTTCTCTTTAGAATTGAGTTTGGAACATATCAAAAGTCCTGACTGAGGTACTGTCTTTTATATTCAACAGGTTTAAGATTTGTGGCCCTGATGGAAGCCATTACTCGGGTAGTCATGATACTCATGTTGCAGGAAGTGATGCTGATGATGTTTGATCACTATTCAGAACAAAAATTCTATCCAAAAATGTACATTCTTTAAACCACCACCCTATTAGTTCTTTATGGACCATTGGATTCTTGAATAGCTTAAGCTATTACAACTTCTTTAAGCTTGTCCTTTATTGTGTATGATAATATGGAAGCAGACATGTGTTGTTGAAAACTAACATGACCATCTGCCTGTATTTGTTTGCAATGACAAGACATTACTAGTAGCAACCACTATGCTTTAATTGCCTCTATCTTTCGATGGTTGTTTGGTAGCTCAATAGAGTTATGCGAGTATTAGTTATGTAGGTATTACTAATGCGGGTATTAGTTATGTAGGTATTAGTCAGTTTGGACGTGAACTTTTGGAATGAAACCAAGACTATAAATGGATTTGCTGTCTACTTTGCCCTTTTCATAACCATCCTGTATCCTCCCTGGATGACTCTCATAGACCATTTAGGTTTACCTGTTCAGAAAATAAGAGATTTCCCATAAAGCCCCAATATTTCTATCAAGGCAGTTGCCGAACCATACTACATAGTTCTGCAAACAACCAAAGCTTAATAAATTATCACCTTACCCCCATCATTGAATTAAAATTTTGTAGAGTTCATAGCAGTAAAACTAATCGTGGTATGGTGTGAAGTTTTATCCAAAATGTAAACATAATAATTTCCAAAACTAGCTTAACATTTTTGTCTGACAATCATGGGTTTGTTGTTTTATCAACAAAAATATGACAAGGAAAACTCTTCCTCAACAATGTTTCAGTAGATAACAACTATTTGGCTACCATTAAGATTATTCAGTAGATGTGTAAAGACCAGTGCGAGTCATTTTAGTTGTTTAGGGCTGTAATACCTTTGTGTAGATCTTCGTGGGCCAAGAGTGTAGAAATCTGGAAATGGAAATCAAGTATGAGAATCTGTTTAGTGTTGCGGGCACTTTCTCTGTAATAACTAGATTACTATTTCAACCTCATTAACTACTTCTATGTAATTCATATGCTCAAAGAATCAATTTTATGGGTTTTCCAGGTAGGCTAGGTTTATAATTCTATACTAGAAAGACAATAATTTAATGGACTAGGATTGAAAATTATTCATAATTAAGCTGCCCACATGTCGTGCCATCAAAAAACAACCCTAGCTTTCAATGGATAAAATCCTATGGATATTCTTTTCAGTTCTGGGAGGAAACCGAATTATGAAAGAAATGAATGAACAGAAAACACTTACATAAAAAAATCCGTAAGTCATGGAAAAATCTTTTCTAGGGTAATCTGGTCCAATATTTTACATTATGTGTGTGTTTGGTATGAAGGAGAATGTTCTTCTAGAAAATGTTTTCCTAGAAAACAAGTAGATATTTGATTTATTTTCACATGTTTGGTCGGTGAGTAGAAAATATTTTACTGTTTGTTTTTTGAATGAAAAATATTTTTGAGAAATATCTTTTATTTTTTACTAGAGTAGAAAATAATTTTTAAAGTTGATTTTTTTTTTAAAAAAAAAACAAACTTAAATTTTTTTGTGGTGTGTGGGTGTGTGTTGGGGGGGGGGGGGGGGGGGGTTCTCCCGGAGGGGTGAAAAAACCAAAATTTGGAGCTAATTTTTTTTTTTAAAAAAAACAAATTTAATGTTTTTTTGGGG